GCTTGATTTTCTGTTTTGATGCATTATTTTCCATTTTCGTAGTTTCATTGAATTAATCGTTAATTTACGTTTTTCGGAGGCGGTCATGAATGTCTCTCGAGTGGAACGGAGGAAGAGATGGCACGGAGACGGACAAAGACAGACCTGTATTTGTTGAGACTGTGAAAAACACGAATAGAGTCTGCGTTTGAAAAACAACACCACCACAGCTTTCCGTTTTTTTTGGAGCTGCAACAAAAACGTATTTGATAAAGCAGCAACACAGTTCACTGAACCAACAGCGACTTATAACATTGACTCGTTATCGTTGAACTATCTTGCCGCTTTTCTATTTCCATGTTCTATTGCATGTCTCCAGCAAGGAGCCATTTTGGAGTCGACATATTACCGTGGCAGAATCCCCTGTCAGAAGGAGTTTCAACTCCCACCCAGATGCTTGTGGAGGCTCTCAGTCGTACAGGAAAGTTCCATCGTAGAAAGGTTTCCGGAAGCTTCTGTGAGAGAAGCGAAACGTCCTTTTTTGTTTTTTGTTTTTGTTTTTTACCCACAAGTACAGATGACGACTGACGGAACCCTTTCTACGATGGAACTTTCCTGTACGACTGAGAGCCTCCACAAGCAACCTGCTAAGTGAGTTTTTTTTTTTTTTGGTTGTTGTTTTTTTTTTTTTTAATAGCTACTCATAGATTTATTTCATAGCTTGTCTATTTCCTCACCAGCCCTCAAATGCATCTCCCCTTTAAATCTGAACCCTGCAACTGTGTCCTGTGTCCGAGCCTGGTACTGACACCCCCTCACATGTTCTTTCCATCTTTCATCCTCTCAAACATGTCCTCCATTGTTTGCCCTCTCCCACATTTTTCACGTTCTTTCAATTGTCCTCGGATGCTATTTCGTTCATCCTCTTACGAATTCCCTCCATCTCTCATTCACATGTATCTTATCATCTTTTCTCCTCACATGTTCAAGCCATCGTTGATCCTCCCACACATTCCCGATTTTGTTGTCTCACATTTTCTCCATCTTTCAAGCTACTGTGCATTTTCTCCGACTTTTGTCCTCACTTTCTCTCCATCTTCATGCTTTTGTTTTCTGGTCATCTTTTGCCCTCACACATTCTCTGACTTTCATCCTCTTGTTCATCCTTTCCCTATTTCGTCCTCTCACACCTCTACATAATTTATCCTCCCACATTTCTATTCCGTAAATTCTTCTCACACTTTCTCTCCATCCTGAGTCCTCTCGCATGTTCTCTCCCTCACACATTCTCTGACTTTCATCCTCTTGTTCATTGTCTCCCTATTTTGTCCTCTCACAACTCTGCAGAGCTTCCCACGGTGTCTCTCCTCCAGAAGATGCCCTCCTCTTCCGTCACCTGCCACGCAACAGGTTTCTACCCCAGTGCGTCGGCCCTTTTTTGGAGGAAGGACAGCGAGGTGATCCACGAGGATGTGGAGAGATGGGGGAGACCCTCCCCAATCATGACGGAACCTTCCAGACCACAGCCCGCCTGAAAGTGGAAGTGACGGCCGGCGTGGGGAGCAAGTATGAATGTGTGTTCCAGCTTGCCGGCGTCGAGGAAGACATCGTCACCAAGCTGGACAGAAGAATCATCCTGAGCAACGCGCGGATCCAAGTTGATGACACGCATTGACTTGATTTGTGACAAGCCATTAACGTGTTTCTCTTCATCACACGCTCTTTGTTGCCATGTGAAGAAGAAGAAGTCAAGAAGATGATGACCATCGTTGTCACGTTGGTGATCCTCGCTCTCGTGGGGGTGGTGGTGGTTGCCGGGTTCCATAACCAGATAAGGTGAGCGACACAAATGCTTCGTCTGTCAGGAGGAGCCAAAGGGAAGAGTTGCCCCGTGCCATTTTTGAAAAAAAGTGAATGTAACATTGTTTGTCTTTCCTTTCAGCCATATACCCTCGATCGTATAAGTAAAGCATTTTCTGTTTCCTTTGAGCCACATTACAAAAGGCAGTGCTACGCATCTCTGAATTAGATCTCTGTTACCAAAGTGTGAATGAGGATAATCCAAAACGACAACAAATTGTTGTCATGTATCATTTAAAGAAGAAAAACAGCACTCAACAGTACTGTCATTTTAAAAACACACAGTAATGACATGAAGTAAGACTTTTTTTTTCAACAGGTTTTATTTTCCTCACTGCATCAACTGAATCGTCATTGTACTGCTGCTTCTGGTGTGCTGACCTTGGCCACCGGAGGGCAGTATAATACAATTCATTGAGACATCCGAACTGCTTTCTCACTGACGTCATGCTCGCGCTCGTATTTTTAGTCTGCGCTCGTATTTTTAGTCTGCGATCACATTAAAGCAAAAAAACAAACAAACAAAAAATCTGTAA